CAGATGCTTACCCACTGCCCACTCTCAGTTTGCAGAGGCCTGCCCATACCCCCTCTCTAAGGCAGCACCCACATTGCCCTCAGTTATAGACTCCATGCATTTTCTTCCTAGCACTATTAAAATCACAATTATGTATTTATTTAGGATTTTTTTTTATTCTTTTGTTACTGTTTCTGCTTATAGACTTAAGAGCTGTTGTCTTGGTTTGTTGTTTTTTTGTTTGTTTTTAAGCAAAGTATATCCCATGCCTTCTAGAGAAGTTGAATATACTAGATGATCAACAACTGTGTATTGAGTGAACAGATGATGGATACAAGCATAGACAGACTCTGGTTTTTATTGCCAACAGAATAGAAGTTTAAATTCCATAATTTGACATTCAGCGCCTTCACTAATCTGTTGCCAGCCTATCCATTGCAGCCCCACCTCCCCTCTACACTTTAGCTCCTTGGGCCTATGGGCCCTTCTCTGTCTTATTTCTAACACAGAATCTTGGACCACAGCCACACTCCCCACTTTTGTACTGATGCTCATTTATCTCTTCCTCCCCATTTCAGATTTGTATTTGTCCTTCAAATCTTTGTTATAGCATACTTCCTTGAAGCCTTTCACAGTTCCTCCACTTGGAATTAAATCTGCCATATGCCCACGGAATTTGTGTTTGAATTTATGACCACACTCATGAAAGGAGAAAACATGCATAGTGTTAAAAAGACACTCAGGTTCATATGCCACTTCTATCACTTTCTAGCCACGAGACTCTGGGTCAATTATGCAAACTCTCCTTTTTTCGGTTTCCTATAAAACATGTGTCAAATTATGCTTTGGCCTTGCAGGGATGTGGTGGGGATTGTCGATAGTAAATAACTACACTGTACGGTGCACAGGGTGTGCTAGAAAAAAATGGCAATTGCTTTTGTGAAGGTGACAATGCAACAGCTTGTTTGGTAATGTAGTTATTTGGGATATGTTAGTATCGTCTTCTTGTTGTTGTTCAGTCACTAAGTCATGTCCAACTCTTTGCCACCCCATGAACTGCAGCATGCCAGGCTTCCCTGTCCTTCACTAACTATCTCCTGGAGTTTGTTCAAACTCATGTCCATTGAATCAGTGATATCATCTAGCCATCTCATCCTCTGCCACCCACTTCTCCTCTTGCTCTCAATCTTTCCCAGCACCAGAGTCTTTGCCTCTTCTAGACTGTGTCTAATTCTTCTTTATCTAACCTAGTCTCAGCCCTTCTTCATAGCAATATACACATGGGAGGAACCCCCAAAATTAGAATGAATGAATAAACAAATGAATGAATGAGTGAATGTGAATAAGCCAACCCTCATTACTTGTTAAAGGGTCCCACCATGTACTGGAGCTATTGACACCCACCCTTTACTTTAAAGTCACTTAGTCTGAGTTTTGGACAACTCCAGCCAACTCCTGTTTCTCTGATTCGAGGGTCCTGATCCCCCCTGCTGTCTGCTCCTGCCCTTGGCTAGAAACCCATCAGGAGCAACAGAAGACTCTCAGGAGAATGACATTTTGAACTTATAGGCAGTTCTGAGGTTTTTGTTGGCAGTGAAGAGTTGGGAGTTTTCACCCCCATTTTTTTCTCTCTTAATTCTGCAATATATTGGAGAAGGTTCCAGCCAAGAGAGTTATTGCTTTCTCCTTGCCTGGATCTTAAATCTTTGTTCAAAGACAGCCTGTTTTAATTGAAAATGTTCAATCAATCTCTTCCCTCCTCCCACCCACATCCCATTTCTTGGCTCCAGCAGGGCCAGTGCAGTAAATAACCTGGAGCGAGGCTCTCAGGGCTTAGGGAATATGTAATAGTGTTGGAAAGAAAAAGGGTTGTCTCAGACAATTTCCACCTTTAAAACACTGTCTTTTAAACAGAGCTTGTCTGAAATGATCAACACCTCACGGTGGGCATTTGACTGCAACAGCCCAACTCCTCTGCCTTATAGAGCTCGGGAGAGTTGACCTACAGGGAGATCTCCTAGGGTTGCTCCAGGGCTGAGTGAGTCTGGCTGTCACTGCAGGCCTGGAGGAAGAGTTCAGGCTTCCCTCTGGCCATATTCATGCGCTTACTTAGTCAGCATCCATGGGTTGGTTGCTTATTTCACCACCACAACCCTGCAAGGCAGGCATTGTTATTCATGTTTTGCGGGTGAGGAAAGAAGGTTCAGGGAGAAGGGAGAACTTCTGCAAGGTCACACGGTGTTCTTGCTCTCCTCTGCTGCAGAACGAATTTCCCCAAAGTTAATGTTTAAAACCATAGTTATTCTCTCTTGTTTTCTGTGGGTCAGAAATTTAGGAAGGGTTGGGCTGAGTGGGTCTGGCTTGGCATCTTTGATGCAGTAGCAGTGAGATGCTGGCTGGAGCTAGAGCGGCAGAGTGCTGGAGGGACTGTGGGCTGGCCAGGAGTCCCTCTCTGAAGTAGCCTTTCCCCAAAGTCTCAGGGCCTCTGCCTGCAGACCATCTGTGAGCTGGTTTCAGGATTCCTCACAGCAGGATGGCCTCAGGCAGTCAGACTGCTCACCCAGAGGTTCAGAACCCCAAGTGGGGCATTCCGGCAGGCAAGGTGAGAGTCAGCCCTGCTTTTCTGACCTCTCAACAGAAGTCCCACAGTGTCACTCCTGCCATTTCTTAGGTAGCAAGTAAGTTATAAGCCCACCCGGATTCAAAGAGAGAGGATATAGACTCCACCTCTCAGTGGAAGGAGTGTCAAGATCACATCAAGGGATGGCAGGTGAGATGGGAGACATTGTGCAGACATCTTTGGAAAGTACCATTGGCCACACACAGCATGTGGCCAAGCCAGGATTCAAATGAGATGCATTTGATTCCAAAACTTCTGCTACAGCCTTTTAGCCTGGGGACCTCTCCCTCCCTCTGCGCCCCTGTAGCTCTTACTGTCGACACACACAGTGGTTATTCAGTTTCCTCAAGCCAACTAGAGCCTGACTGAACTGAGGCAGCCAGCCACCTCTGCAGGCCCTGGCAGTGAGACTGCCTCTGGGGTCTGCTGGTCAGAAAGCCCAGGCCCAACACCAGCTTGTGAACTTTTTAAAGAAGGGGACAGAGAAGGGCGGTCACAAGCAGAGGAAGGAAGCAGGTTGCAGCCGAGGGCACAGCAACCCTGTAGCACATCTCACTGTTGTAAACAACTCATCTGGTGTTTCCCCTTCTCCCACCAAGCACTGGCCTGGGGTGCCTCAGCCCTTGACAGAAAAGGTGCCTTCCAGCTGGGCAACAGCCCAGAGTGGCAGAAAGTTCACGGCCCTGGAACCAGAAAGTCCCAGATTGGAGCCTCAAGTCTACCACTGGCAGTTTTTTAGCTTTGGACAGGTTTCTCAGCTTACAAAAGCAAAAGGGAGATAGGAATGCCTTCCTCCCTGGGTTGTTTGAAATGACGTGTTAGTAAAGGGTCAGTGTAGTACCAGGTACATAGCAAGTGCTCCATAAATGCTGCAGTTCGTGGTGTTCATGTCCAGGGCCATGTCCGAACCCAGCCTGGAGACACCTCGAAGTGAGGGGTGAGAACTTGCTTGACTGTTTCGCATATGCTGGCCCAGCTCCATGACCCCGGATGGAGTAGTAGCCGAGATGTTCCCAGTGAAGTGACGACTAAACGGAGGTGTCTGGAGGCTGAGAAGGTGTGTTGGCCCTGTAAGGCCTGTGGGCAAAGGGGAGAGTGGTCTGGGAAGATGGAGTGGAATGGGCAAAGGCCTGGAGGTGAAAGAAGCTCATTCCAGTATTACTGGAATGTAAAGGCTGAGGGGTGGAAGGCAGGAGGCAGCAAGCACAAAGCTGAGACCCAATTACAAAGGACCCAGTAAATCAAGTTCCAAATTTGAATTTTAAAAGCAACTGGGAGCCACTGAAAGGTTTTTCTCAGTTGGATGACGTGGGCAGATCTGTGCTTTAGAAAAACTACCCTTTCACCCCATCCCACCAGCAACTTTATAGAAAATGGAGCAGAAGCAGGCAGCCTCATGGCTGGGAGGCCATTAGGACAGGATGGCAGCAATTGAAGGAAAAGATGATGCTGCCTTTTTCTAGGAAGACAGCAGGGGCCTGGGGAAAAGTGGACCAACTAAAGACAAAGACGTTCCCCTGGGTAAGAGTTGGTGATGGTTTGGATATTCAGAGCTGGGGGACATGAGATAAAAGATTAGTGCTTTGAATGAAGTCAGTTCAGAAGCCACAGGAGCAGAGGGCAAGAGCACCACTCATAGACCTGGGAAAAGAGCATTGTGCCTTACTAAAGAGACATCACCTAAGTGAAAAACTGATGGTTACAAATTAGCTGAAGAAAAGTGAGGCAGAGGAAATCGCTCATGTGAAGGTCCAGAGATGTGAGCTATAATGCACAGAGCCTATGTCCCATGTTGTCGAATAGATGACTGTTGTGCAAATTTATACTAAAGTGTTACTGGTCAATATGGAATTGACCCTTTCCCCTTCCCTGGGGAGCTTGTGTTTAACAGGTCACAAGTACTTACCCTAAGGATTCATTATTGGTAGACTTTAAGGCGGACCAGGGATACTATTTAGGGTGAGAAGGTTTTATTGTCCCCAAGGTTACCAAGGTAGATGACTAATCCCTGAAGGTCAAGCAGGCCCTGGTCTCTATACAACAAAAGGTCTCTTGCCCTTGGGTCTTGCTTATCTGCCTCCCCCTGAGCCACCTGATTGGCAGACCATGGAAGCCCAGTGATTCCCAAAAGAATGCAGTAGGTTCTAAAATCTCTGAACACAGGCTTCAGAGTAAGACTCCTTCCAGGCTCTATGACCTTGAACACATTGTTAAACTTCTCCGCATCTCAATTTTCTCACCTGGGAAAAAAGACAAATAATAGTATCTAATATTTAAGGATTTGTGAAAATCAAAAAGACAGTACATACAACACAGAGAAGAGTGAGTAGTGATACTGTTTTGTTACTGTTGTCATTTTTCTTACTAGTCCAGAGTTGCTCCTTAACACCCGCCCTTACAGATATGAAGCTGGGGCGGAATGTGGCGAGAACATTTTTGGATTATTACCGGCTGAACCCCATGGTCGAGAAAGTGGCGATACCCATGCCGAGGCTGCGGTAAGTGCTAGGCACAGCTTGTGTCGTGCTTAACTGGCCTCTTGTTCAGGGGCAGCTTCCTTTAGCCTCTGTCTGGCCCTGGGCGGTATGGGAAAGATGATCCCAGCCCTGCCACAGAGACTGTAGTGGCCAAAGAGCTTCACAGCGCAGCTTGCTGAGTTGGGGGTATCATTATGGGGTGAGACAGTGAGGGGGTGGTCACATTTCTGGATCTAACATGGGAACCCACAGGACTGGGAGTTGCTGGGAGGCTGAGTCCAGCCACTATTCCAAGCTGGTCTGGGTATATCCATGTGCTACTCCATCTGACAGCTCACCCTCTAGGATTCCTGTATCATCGGCTCTCATAAGGCCTCTGATCCTTCAGTTTCCTCGTCTGTAAAGTGGGGACAGTGATTCTCACTTAGAAGACTATTAAGAGATGTTAGAGAACCCTGCACAGTGCCAGGCATGTATGTACCCTGTACATATGAAACGCCCCTGCTGTCAAGATGCAAAGACTCGGTGCTTAGAGGACACGGCCCTGAGAAGCTTCCCCTCAGGTCCTCTGCCGTGGTCAGCTTTTTGGGCTGGTGAAGAGAGAAGGTCAGGTGATGAGTGTCCTTCCTGAGCGCTGGACCAGAGCCCAGAGTGCTGGGCATTCCCATGCCTGCTGGCTATGAGCCCAGTGAGCATTTGCGCAGGGACACCCAGTGGCATCTGGGATGTGCTGGCCTCACCCTACCCCTTGACCTCATCTCCTACTTGCCTAGTGGTCCAGCCTCCTTGAAGGACTTAATGATATCAATTTAAAAGGTTCCTGCCAAACCAAATCTTCCCACTGACCTTGCGCATGACCTTGCCCAAATGCTTTGCTGTCTCAGGGCCTTTGTACTGATGCACCTTCCTCCTGAATCTGTTATTAACAAAAACAATGTTAATCACTGTTATTTACTGAGCCAAGTACTTTTTGTACATGGTCTTATTCATTCCTCATAGATAATTTCTTCATCATATTACAAATGAGGAAAAGGAAGCTCAGAAAGGTAAAGAAAATTTCCTGAGGTCAAAGACATTTTGTAGAGGCAGGATTTGATCCTAGGTGTTTATTATTCCAAAGCTGGACTGAAGTCCAGCTAAGCTCTACCTCCAGCAGGAACCTTTTCTCACTGTCAGTGTAGGTTCAAATTCTGTCTCAAGCTGGTGGGATGTGAGACAGATTTCTTGGCTTTGTGAAACCTCTTTCTGCCTTCCTAAAGTGAGGGTAACAACAGCAACCTCTAAGGGTGGTTTTAAAGATTAGATACAAGCATGGTCTGGTGCCTGGTAGCCAGGAGGTGCTCAATGAATGCTTCCATCTTCTGGGGCTTCTGTGCCACAGGCCCAGATTTCCAGACAGCTCATCACAGCCTCGGGCAAGTCCCTGGATTTATCTAGCTGGGCTGGATGATCTCTCAGAAGCCACATCCCATCAAGTTAGGAGTCCCTCCTCTCTGAGCCCCAGCTCCATGAGGAGTCTGCTCCACAGCGTATTCTGTCTCAGTTGTTCACCCCCATCAGAGTGGATTAGAGCAGGTCTTTTCCTTCTCTGTTCTCCCACGGTACCTAAGCTGTATGGAGCGTGCTTTCATGTATGTATCCTTTCATTCATTCACTTAGGACAACAGCACTTTATGTCAGGTCCCTAGTGGGGAAGGGGATGCTTGAATGAATAAATGATTAAAGCATGACCCTGACTTTGAGGTGCTCACCTCTAGATGAAGGTGCTCAGTTCATCCTTAGAAGTCGTTCTTGATGGGTTAAGTCCTTAAAATTTAAAGTGTTATAAACTCGTGCTCTGCCTCAGGTGTTCGCCCCCATCCTGGTGGATTAGCCTTTTGAAGGAGCTTTTGGGGGATTCCCTGGTGGCTCAGACAGAAAAGAGTCTGCCTGCAGTGCGGGAGACCAAGTTTCGATCCCTGAGTCGGGAAGATCACTTGGAGAAGGAAATGGCAACCCACTCCAGTATTCTTGCCTGGAAAATCCCATGGATGGAGGAGCCTGGCAGGCTACTCCCTGGGGTCACAAAGAGTCGATCATGACTGAGCGACTTCACTTTTATAAACTCAAAAGAATCCATAGAATCTCATTTACAAGTTAATTTGGGGATTGTCTCTTTCAGGTCCTCCATAAGCCTGAATAAAATTAACTTGATCATTTCCCACTTTGTTCTGCATGTTGCACTGTCAGTCCTGACATCAGCAAGAGTAACGATCATCATTGTGCAGATACGGCGTCCAAGGCCCTGGGAGTGGACGGGACTGGCCACACGCAGGGCTAGGTAGCCAGGCCCCACCATCCCAATCCCCAGCCTCATGTTCTGAGCATCAGTTAGTGAAGAGTTCTTCAAGATGGGGTAGGCAGGCCCCTGAAACTGTGCCTAAAGGTTACAGGGGCGTTCCGGGCCCTGCTCATGGGACCCCCATTGCGCTGAGCTTTGGAACCCTCATTAGAGAAGAGTTGAAGGACTGCCTCCTCAGAGTCCACAGCCTTGAAGACTCACAGTAAAGGCACCCACCCTTCATCTAAGAAAAATAGAATAAACACCCTCTCCAATCCCCACATCGCTCCCTCATCGAACTTTGAATATCACTTACTTCTCAATTTGTCAGCAACTCTTGAAAACATGAATCTCAGGAGGATTCACAGCTCTGATTTGGGACTTGACTAGGTCCCTATTTTTGTATTATTTTCCACCCAAGCATTGAATAACATACATGAAAGAGCAGTTCTAGTTTCAAAGGCAAATTGCATGTTTTGATTCAGAATTAATCTTTGTTTTCTCCCATCTCGATGGATAATTATACTGTGTCAGCTTCTACCCATGTGCTAGTAGGAGCCTGTCAGCATCCCTGGGAGGGCCCTGAAGGGGAGAGGGACAAGATGTGAGTGTGGGCTCAGGGACATGCCATCGATGACCAGAGCTGAGACCCCCACACTTATCTCAACCACAGGGACACAGAATGTCCCATCAAGGTGGATACAAATTAGACGAGGACAATGAACAGGCCAGGTGAGCCTCTGTGGGGAGATGAACCGTGAGCATGGAGGGTGGGCAGGCCTCTGAATGTGAGGTGGGCTCAGGCTCAATGACAAGGGCTGCCTCCACGGTGGGGTTTGGATGTGTGTCTCTGTGTAGGGGGAGGGGTGGGAATCATCAGCTCTGCATCTCACTGGAGCCCTGAACTTGATGCTGGGGGAACATAGATAACATTTGCCCATCAGGAGCCCAGATTCACAGAGGAGAAGGCATGTCCACATGCAAAGATCACAAACCATACCAAGCAATGTATAAATGTGCTCAGCTACCTAGCACCTTGTGCCCTCTTTCAAAAGCCTCCATGGTTCCCCACTACCTTCAGTAATGTTTCAATTCCTCCTCTTGCTGGTCAAAGCCCTGGCCTACATTGAAAACTTCATATCCAGCTTCCTAGCATACACCTTTCCCTGTGAGCACCGTCTCCACCCTACCTGCTTTCTACCACTTTATACCCCAAGTAAGTAAGTCATTGCTCCATGTTCATCCTTTCCCCTCTTCCTGGAATGTTCTCCCTGTCCGGCTCTAGATGGAGAATGCCAGCTTATCTTTCAAAGCCCAGTCTGGATATCGCACCTCTGTTTCTTGGTCCTTGTTCTCCACTGGAGATAGACCTCCTTCTGTGTGCTGAACCCCTAACTGCATTTTGCACACATGTGTGCAGGGTCCATCCCAGAGCGTATTGTCATAGCATCTTTGTGTGTCTGGCTCCACCACTAGATGGATTGCTCCTTAAGGAACTGTTTAAGGACCTCAGCGCACATTCAAGGCCTGGTTGGGAGTAAGTCCTCCATAAGCTCTGAATATATGAGTTATGAAATGGTAGAACTGAAGCATCCTCTAAGAATCATCCGCTTCAACCCCTTCGTGTTATAGAAAAGTGAGACCCAACCAGAAATTACTCTCCCACAACTAGTGGCGAGCATTTGGCAGCCATCAGGAGTATCCCAGGAAGGCTTCATGGAGGAAGTGGGGCTTAAACTTGGTTTTCAAGGACATGTAGAATTCAAATGGATGAAATGGAGGAGAGGGAGGCATTCCAGGTTGAAGGGAAAGGGCATAGAAGGCAGCAAGCAGAAGCTGAAAAGGCACATTCTAAGGTAATGGCAGGCCTGGATGCTGAGGACAGTAGAGATGGTAAAGATGGGGCTAACAGTTCATTTAATTCATTAAACAATCCTAAAGCCATACTTCATACTGTTCAGGACTTATGGAGAGAAATCAGATGCATCAAACTAACAGTCCTATGAGAAAAACAGCTGGGCAAATAACTCCGCAGAAAATCGCATGCTGAGAGATGAGGCCCAAAGTGCTGTGGGAACCAGGGGAGGGGTGCAGCTTATTTTCTGGGGAGTCGGCTTTCCAAAGGAGGAGTCCAGATAGGTGGAGGAGGGCCCTGTAGGAAGAAGAGTAGCTCTGTGGGGCCCATAGGGGGGAGGTTTGCCTGCTGATGCCTCTCTCTGCCACCCCATCTGGAGCTGTGGATGCTTTTTGCCTTTGTAAGGACCCCACAGTCATTTTTCATGTCCACACTCCTCCCTGGCTATCACACACCCTCTCCCCATGCACGCCATCTACCTGGGACCACCCCACCTGTGATCATACCTGGGCTTGCACACCCTCTTTCACCCCCAAAGAAACAAATCCACTTGTTTCCCATGCTTCCTTTGGGAGTAAAGACCCACCCTCTCAGTGACACGTGAATGGCACCTTGTAATGGGCAAAGCTCTTCCCCAGCCCTCATTCACCAGCACCCAGAATGCAGGAAGGACACGGGTGCTACTATTTTACAAAAGAAGAAGCAGGGGCCAGGGAAGAGAAAGGACTTCCTGAAGATCACATCGCCTGTTAACGACATTCCAAGTGTGTGTTCCAGGCTTTTGTTGGGTACTAAGACTTAGATGTATCTCAACCATGCTAGATGATCTTCCTGTCTTAGCAAGGTCTTTCATGAGCGTAGAATCTTAGTCTGTGAGGCTTCCTGGTTGAGGAGCTACATGAGGGTAAGGTGCCTCTTTTATGTGCTGACACCTGGTCTTGTCTTTACCCTATTCATGCCTCATCAGCAATGAAGGAAATGATACTCCAGAATCAGAGCAGCATGGGTTATAAGAAGTCACTTCCTGAATCCTAACTCTAACAGCCCAAGAGATTCCCATATTTGTGGCATTACCATTTTCTGCCAGGAGTTGTCGTTCTTATTATTTATTATTTTGTGTAGTTATTTTATACATCTATGACCTCTACTAAATTGTAAGCAGCCTGAGAACATCAATGTCTGATTCACCTCTGTCACCTCCAGAGTCCATTGGACCATACCTAGCACCTAGCAGCATGCCTTTGTAAGTTACAGTAGGCAAAGGAAGACACGAGGTGTGTTTATTTGTATTGTCTCATTTAACGTCACATCACCCTGAAATTGGAATATTTTATCCTCATTTTGTAAACGAAGCTCAGAGAATTAAAAATAACTTGCTCAAGGTCATACCTCTCATATATACCTGGCCTGAGAATTCAGTTCAGTTCTTTCTGGATTGGCCAGTATTTCCACTGCATATAAATCGTAGTCCAATGCTTGAATGAATGTCACATCAATTTATTACTCAAAATGTAATAAATAAGGCCCCATATGAGGAAAAATGCAAACACGGATAAAACTTGGTTCCTGCCCACCAGGAGCAGAACAGAAGGTGAACAGCTGTTGAAGAGTAATGTGAAAGGTATTACATTGGGTGCTGAGCTCTGAGATACAGAGGTCAAACAGACACATCTCTGCCTTTGGACAGCCCCTAAGCTTGTAGGGGAGACAGATCCACCGTGAAATGCCATAATTAGGTTATGCTGAGAAATATAAAGGGACTCTGGAGCCCATGATGGTTATGAAGGGAATGAAGCCCCTGGAATGAAGTCCATGGTTACGAAGGGAATGAAGCCCCTGCCAACCTCCAGCTCATCTATGTGTTCATCCAGATCCCAAGGTGAAAAGGATAGACTGAGTTAGAATCAAGGTGGAAATCTGGAAGTGTTATAACCATAGGGCAGTTAGGTTTTCTCCAGAACCAGAATGATACAACCCATCCATTCATCTGAGAGTCCTTCATTCAGTCATGCCTTTGGCTGGGTTCCTGAGATGCCTAGATGAGGCATTCAAGGCCACTGCTCCTAGTCCAGTGGCAGACTCACGGCTCACAGTCCATTGGGGAAGATAGACATACACACAGATGATTCCAATGCAGTGTGTACATGTGCTGTCTTTCTTCTCTCTTTGTTATCTCCCCCTTTGCAGGAAAGGAAAACCCCCTTCCTACAAGCACCCAATCCTGCGGGGCCCGGCCAGCAACCACCCCAACGGCAAAGGGGACAAGAAGAGTTCAGTGAACCACAAAGACCCTTCAAACTCTTTTTAAGGATGTGGAGTCCAGGGAGGTCTTGTGGTGACAAGAGCATGCATTTTCTGCTGGGCCATGAAATTAATCACCCTATTCTAGTTTCCAAGATAATGACTGTGAGAAAACATATAAGCTAGTGAAAGGGAAGGAGAAAGAATGAGAAATTTCATCATTGATTTTCCTTTTTACCATTTGAAAATCAACTGTGAGCCTTCAGCTTAAGGCTCAGGAGGAACAAAATAGAAGACTCAGACCAGATGAGTACAGATGCTAATTTCCACAATGCAGAGACCCTCACAGGAAGAGAAAAACCCCACATCCCTTCTATAGTCAGTGCTTTCCAGGCCCTTCACTGTTCTAAGTTGTGCAGTTACTACAGATGGCTACCTTTTAGGCCACGGTTGTTAACTGTTTTAGAAATGCAGTGTCCATATTTGCTGACCCAAAACAATACCATCAACGCATACAAAACAAAAGACAAATGCACCTTTGGTAACAATGGGTCAGAATTTTTGAGGTCACGATGGTCTTAGACATACAGTCACTTTATCTATGAGCTGCATGCTGCCTGACTGCCCTAAAGCCCAGCATGCGACTTCAGAGAACTGCCCTGAGAGCTATGTCCCAATGACCGAGGTAGTTTCATTGCAACTTTAGCTCCTAAAACAAAAAGTATTAACTGCACCTTCCAGAAGGTCTCTCTCATGGTTAAGATCTCTAGATCCTAGGATCTGAGATCAAAACTGACCACTGAAGAAGAGGATATGAAAAATCTGCCATAGAGGGGAGGAGGCTGACTGCCAGATACAGAAGATGCAAAAGATAAAAGGATGCACCCCAAGGCAGGTGGGGTTGATAAAGTAAAACAACAACAGTGGCAATTCCCAAGGCAGGGCGAGCTCAGTATTGTGCATTTTTCTACAGAGTAAAGTGCCTTTGCATGATGAATGGGTCCAGGGGAGTCGGCTCACTTCCTGTCTGTGAAGCAGCAGGCTGAGTCACCATGACAGCCTGCTAATTAAAATGACCTCCTGGAAATGAGGATTAGGAGATAGGGAGAGGAAGGGAGGCTCCGGGGAGATAGGGCCTTTAGCACAAAGCTTCAGTTTAGCATTCTTTTGCTTTGGATTGGAGATTTTCAAAGTATGTTAAAAATTGAGAGCAAAGCTTATTCTCCCTTTGCTTATTGCTTTTCAGAAATGATTTTTTAAAAAAACCCACATGTTAGTTGGCTACAAATGTTGTGTTGTATATACAGCTTCTCCCCTGGGTTCTTGTTGCCCAGAGGAACACAAATAAAGTGCTTCCTGCAGCTCCTCTGTCCCTCTGAGCATTCTTGGCACCCTTCCCTCTAGGTCTCTCTCTCCCTCAAGAACCAGCCAGTTGACCCAATTTGATGTAACCCTCACTTTGGGACTCTGTCATCAAGGTAAGGAAGGACAGTCAAGGCTTGACTTTCCAGCCGTTCCTGTGGCAGAATCCTGGGGAGTTTACTTGACTGCAGCCAGCTCAATGCAAATCAACACTGTGGTAGGCCTTTCAGAAACAAGAGCATCTCTTGAGATGGCATAAAGAGAGGCAGACTGCATAAAATCTGAGGTAATAGACCAGATTTATTTTTCCCTGCCCAAATTGCTTTCATAAGGTGACCATATTTAGACCCCACTTTTTTTTGGTGTTTAAGTAGTTCATTTTATAGATTTATACTGCCTATTAAATTATGGCATAGCTTCCCAGGTGGTGCTAGTAGTAAAGAACCTGCCTGCCAATGCAAGAGACATAGGAGACGCAAGTTCAATCCCTGGGTCAGGAAGATCCCCTGGAGGAGGGCATAGCCAACTACTCCAGAATTCTTGCCAGAGAATTCCGTGGACAGAGGAGCCTGGGGGTAGGGGGGTGCTACAGTCCATAGGGTAATACAGAGTCGGACACAACTGAAGCGACTGAGCATACACTCACACATGTATTTTTCCAATTTACATTTTACTAGAAGTAAACTGATCTGATACCTGTTTGACCAAATCTTCATTGACAGAAAAAAGTAGCTACTTTCATCAACTTTTTATCAATAGGATATTTTCAGTTATGAAAATATAACTGCACTTCTGAAAAGCTGCATTGATTAATTGGACCATAGGTCTTAAAAGCTCAGGTGTGCTAGTGGTTTAAAAGAAAATTTTGGAGTCAGGCAACTCTGGATTCTAATTCTGCATTCAAACCTTTATTCTGTCTCTTAATATCTGTGTGATCTTGGGTAAGTTATTTAACCTCTCTGAATCTTAGTTCCTAAAACATGGTGATAGTAATGTCTACCTCATTACAGTAGGTATGTGGGTTTAATGGGATTTTATGGGGGATATTGGGGTTTCCCTGGTAGCTCAGTTGGTAAAGAATCTGCCTGAAATGAAGGAGATCCCAATTCAGTTCCCAGGTTGGGAAGATCCCCTGGAGGGGGGCATGGCAACCCACTCCAGTATTCTTGCCTGGAGAATCCCCATGGACAGAGGAGCCTGGCAGGCTACTGTCCATGGTTGCAAAGAGTAAGACACGACTGAGCAACTAGGCACAGCACAGCAAATCATTCAATCAATGATAGCTGCTAGTTGGATGTGACCAGGATGATAAGGTGTCTGCAAATCACTTCCCATTGGAAATGGATAAGGAAACAGGAGCTGTTTATCCATGAGATGAAAAATAAGAGGGAGTAGGGTTAAGGAAAGCAAGATCACAATATCTAAAGAGTTGAAACAGTATCTTGGATACTCTTTTTGTCAGAAAAAAAGGAAACTTGTTCTGTGTTGCCAACAGGTTAGAACCAAATCCAGGGAAGTAGTCTCAGTAAGACAAATTTCAGTTTAAAAGTGAGGAAAACCTTCTAGTGAATAGAGTTGTCAACCACTGGATGAGGTCCCTGAGAGACACAGAGTTCCCCATCTCTAGAGGCATGCAAGCAGAATCTGAATGAACATCTGTCATGGAGAAATGAGAGGGATTTTCTTCCTTTAAGTCACACTGAATTACTTCCTATTCTATAACTGTGGGGAGAATGATGTAAGAGGGAGGTTACATTTCTAATGTCAGACCATGGAGTTTACAGTATAATAAGTATCACTTAACACTAAACAATGAGAGTCAACGTCTGAATTACAGAATACGGGCCCTGCTGACAGTCAGCAATCCTTAGGAGGGAAAAATACATGACCATAAGACTGTAGGACCTGTTTGCAAAATGGTTCACTGCTTCTCCCCAGAAGTAGAGCAGGGAGGCTCAGTCTAAGGGACCAGGGGTTGCCAGTGGACCTCTTTGTGGCCTTAGCCTGCTCAGCAACTCCCTAGCATTCTTGGACCAGGTTATACCTACCGTCTCAGGTTAAGAGGGTAAGAGTTTCAGCACTGAGGTTGAGGACAGCACCAACACAGCAAGACAGCTAGTGAACCACCCAGAAGCTACCAGCTCACTCAGCCCCAGCAGGGGGCGCTCTAGCCTCTCTTGTCTGCCCACTTCCTTCTCAGGACAGAGCCACAGTGTGTAGAACCAGCTACCAAACTAGCGTGCTGCGAGTGAGAAAACAGTGCAGCAAGGCAGGGCGGAGGGCAGAGAGAACCCTGGGCCTCTGCCTGACTTTCCAGACACAGTGCCGGGTTTCCTCTGTATTAGTTCACAGGCCCAGGGATCAGTCTGTTTACCTTCAGAAGCTGTGGCAGACAAGCCAGAGGCCGCCCGGATTCTTTGTGCCGAGGCCCGGAGCAGAGGCTGAGTCACCCGCTTCTGGTGATATTTGCTCTACTACAGCAGCGGCAGTAGCCGGGGCCTTTCAGCTGGGAGCCTTCCCCATTGCCCCTGCATGGGCTGGGGAGGGTACAGGATGAGTTTGCGTCCTTTAACTGTAATTCAATGACTCACTGGAGGCCTGCCTAAGAGGACCCAGCTCCGCATTTTTCTAAGTAGTAAGTGCAGTGCCAGGCCTGGACATCTGGAGTGATTAACCTTTGTGGAGCATCGGTTCATTCACCCACCAGATATTTATTGAACATTTACTGTGTGCTAGGCATTGTGCCAGATGCTTTTGCATACATTGCCCCATTGGATACTCCCAACAGCCCCTAGAGGAAAGTATCATTTTCTCATTTCCCAGGTGAGAGAATTAAGAACCCCTAAAAGTAAAATACCTTCTTTAAAATTCATATAGCTAGTGAGAAATTGAAAGGGAAATCGCTCAGTCGTGTCCGACTCTTTGCGATCCTGTGGACTGTAGCCTACCAGGCTCCTCCATCCATGGGATTCTCCAGGCAAGAGTACTGGAGTGGGTTGCCATTTCCTTCTCCAGGGGATCTTCCCGACCCAGGGATTGAACTCAGGTCTCCCGCATTGTGCAGACGCTTTACCCTCTGAGCCACCAAGGAAGCTAGTGATAACCTGGATTCAATCCCAGTTCCCTTCCTATTACTCTGCACAGGAACTTCTCCATTAGTTTCCAGGTAAAATCAGATCAAAACAGGAAAACAGGTGAAAGCAGATTAACAAGCACATCATGGCCTCACTGAGAGGTAGGAGAGGATGGGAGAGAGGAATGGAGCATGGAAGTTTCCAGGCTGGGTGTATGTGTGAGGATTTCAGGAAATTTTTAGCACCTACTGCTAGAACCCTGCCTTCTTCCCATCTCTCCTTCCCACACACCTGTGTGAGTCCTTGCTGGGCACTCCAACAGGGTAGGGTGTCATTTATCACTTGACATGCAGAAGCTTCTAGGTCTTCCAGATTTCCTGGAAGCTCAGCAAGGTAAAGGGCCCTTCCAGGCCCTCTCTGGGTTACTGACCCCAGGCAGATAATCTAGTTCAAGTTCTGTATCACCCTCTCCCTCTGGATTGTCTAAGCTGAGTCCACTGTGTCCTCAATCATTGTTCAGAAATTTCCTGAGTCCCACCTCCTAAGCAATTTAAGGGCACTGAGATTAGAGGTTCTTTCCCTCATGGCTCAGCTCAGCCAAAGGGGCACCAGGGTAGACAGAACAGGGGAG